GTTTACAGAATACTACAAGACCTACACAAGAAAAAGATTGATAACCCAATTACAAGATAGACAAAAGACGTGGCAAAACTTTTCACAGAGGAAGACATTTGAATGGCCAATAGACACATGAAAAAATGCTCAGAAATCACTGGCAATAAGAGCGATGCAAATCAAAAACATAGTAAGATACCATCTTATCCCAGTAGCAGGACAGCAAGTAATAAACGTTGGAGAGGATGTAGAGAGATGGGAACTCTCATACACTGTTGGTGAGATTGTAAAATGGTACAACCACTCTGGGAGGCAGTTTGGCATTTCCTCAAAAAGCTGGACATAGAAATTCTGTATGATCCAGCTATTCCACTACTAGGAATATACCCCAAGAAAATGAGAACTGAGGCACAAATGGAGATCTGTTTACCACTATTTATTGTAGTGTTATTCACCAGCACAAGAACATGGAAACAGCCCAAATATCCAGCCACAGTCAGAAGGATTAAGAAATTATGGCAAATTCACATGATGGACTACTGTGCAGCACTCAGGAGCAGTGATTTTGAAAATTACTACTTCACTTGGGAGGGACTGGAGAGTATTATGCTGAGTGAAATAACTCAATTTCATAAGGACAAATACTACATAAGACCATTATTGTAGAAATAGGTAACTGGTAAATGTGAATGAGTATCCCAGGTGGGGATGGGGCAGCAGAGAGGTGAGGATGGGCAGGGGGATTTCACAGGGTTGCACAATTAGGTGTGTTGGTGGAGGGGAGGGTAAAGTAAGTAGGGACTATCCATTAGGGATCTGGAAAGACACAATAATGTTGGGTATAGTTCGATGATGATTAATTTTATAAAACATAGTGAATGGGAATGATTGTATGAAACACAATGTGAATGAAGGCTAGTCTGAAACACAATGTACATGAACTTTTAAATCAAACCAATAGGAAACAAAATTTTTTTAAGTGGGTCATTTGACTTTTCTTTCTAATCTGCCTTAGTCTAGAAGGTCCTCTGAAACCTGTCCGCCACGGTGACAATGCTGACATGTGGGTATCAGCAGAGAAAGCAGCATCACTGCTTCACAACCCATGGACTTGCAGGAGCTGGAAATAGGTCCATTCCCTCTCGAATGTATCTTCTGGGAGTGAGTGAGATCACGGAGCGCAAAAAACAGACAGACCTGGGAGATTAAGATTCTAACACAGGAAACTTTCTTTTTCACAGGCTTCACCCCAATTCCACCATCTGCAACCTTTTCTCATAGGCAGTAAAGTGATCCAGAACCCAGGTATCCAGGGGAGAAGAGGAAAGAAGGATTTCATGGATATCTTCAGGATTTGGTCTTGATAGAATGTGCTAGACTGAGACCCAGGGCAGAGGCTGGCATTGTGGTCACCATCACTTGTGGTCGGCAGCCCTGGCAAGCAGACGTCTGGGATGAACACAGTGTCACCAGGAAAAAGGAGGGAGTTTCTTCCTGCCTCTGGAGTCTTCTGCACCTGCAGAGATCTGTGAACCTCTGTGCCCACAGTTTATCTACAGAATGCTTCACCACATACTCAGGTGACCTAAAGCTTGAGGAAACATCCTCCTGGAATAAAGTTAACAGAAAGCCACATCAGAGACTTCTGATCTTCAGTGCAACAGAGGTGACTGGCTTCCCACAGTCTCCCTAAGATGTTTTTCCTTCCTCTCCACACCAAAAGGGCTTATTTTTCAGAGCATTTATTAGATTAATTGAACTAGAGAGAGAGAACTACTATGAGCCTGTGGGTCAGTATTAGCCTACACCGAAGTCCATCTGGTAGACTCTCTGATCGACCAAGTTGCTATGTTATTAGATCAGATCCAGAAAATGTTTGGGTTTGGTTTCATTTGGGGCTGGGGCGGGGGGGTGTCCCTGATTCCACCACCACACACCTTTCTACTCCTGTAAGAAATCAGAGTTCAAGGGGAAGGAAAGGACAAGACCAAAAAAGACATGAGTATCTCAAAGGGAAAGCAGACAGGGGTTCTGCCACCGCGGGAATGAAGGACTCCATTCATAACAAGAGGACTGCACTCCCGAATGGCACTGGGATAACACGGAAAGGACCCCTAAGCTTGGAGGAAGTGCCCACAGGCCCATGGACACTGCCGGTACTTTCCTTAATGTTGTGTTGTTATTGACCACCGTTGAGTCGAGCACAACTCATAGTGACCCTATGAACAAAAAAGCCTTTCAATACTGTCATTTCTCAAAGTTCATAGAGTTTCCAGAGGCATGTTTTTCAGGAAGTAGATGCCACTCCTGCTTCCAAAATAATCTGCTAATAATCCAAGAGCTTAAAGTATCACATCAAAAACTATATATTATAAAAGGGCAACTGGAAAATTCTTCAGCTAAACAGTCACATGACTTGGATAGAAACTTGACCACATCCTTTTTTTTTTAAATTTTTCTACTAGTTTATTTACAAAATTCAAATACAAATTTGAGCTAATTCTTTCAATTTCCCTCACCCCCTACCCATCAAATTGTACAACCCCATGATTACCCTCCCTCTCCCCCTGCACATTCTCATCCCTCTGCTTCCAGCTTCTCCCATCCCTCCTGTATCCTTATACTCATTCTACAATAACGGTCTTATACAATATTTATTCTTCTGGGACTGAGTTAGTTCACTTTGCATAATGCTCTCCAGTCCCTCCCAAGTTAGGTAATAATTTACAATTATTGCTCCTGCCTGCTGCATAGTATTCCATTGTGTGGATATACCATAATTTCTCAATCCATTTACTTGTGGTTGGACATTTGGGCTGTTTCCATGTTCTTGTGATGGTGAATAATGCTGCTATGAACACTGGTGTACAAATCTCAGTTTGTGCCTCAGCTCTCATATTCTCAGGGTCTATTCCAAGGAGTGGAATTGCTGGCTGACCACATTCTTTAATGCCTACGAGCCCTTTAACTCTTTCCTGCAGTGGAGGGGTCTCTGGGGACTGCTGGATGCTGTATGTCACCACGTGGGGACCGGCTCTAGCTAACCCTCAAGCAGGTTTTCAGAATCAGTAAATCAAGGAGAGGAGATCGCCCACCTTTCTCCCACCCAGCAGCTGGCAGATTTGAACCACACGCCTTTAGGTTGACAGCACAATTCCTTATGACCAGGCCACTAGAGTCACGACATTCCCTCCGATATGCATGTCTGACCTGCTTGGGCTCCAGGCTCCTGGGCCGAATGGTCCTGGCTCAGGAGCAGGTGAGGCGTACTCATCATAGATTTCCCAAAGGATAACCCGGTACAGAATTTCTTCATGACTCGCAGATACCGACTTCCAAACACCAGCCACTGAGAAGCCCAAGAAGCGTAGTTCTCCTGGGACACGTAGGTCCCTCTGGTCCAGATCAGAGTGAAGGACAAGCTCTGTGATGGCAGGCGTGTTCCACTAGAGGGCACTAGCACGAGCCCAGGAAAAAACCAACCCACACACCCAGACGCACAGGTAACCTACCTGAGGGAGCCTGAGGCCAGAAGCATCACCTGCCAGATTCCTGGTCTATAGTCTCCCTGGAAGTACGCTGTCCCGTCTCTCTCCCAGAGAATGGGTGGTCACCTGAGAGCTTAACCACTGAGCCACCAGGCATCCTCATATTTCAGATGACATTGGATGACACTGAACACCACATCGTGGATCTGAGAAAAGTTCAATGCGCACACCCCGGCAGCCGGGCTCTCACAGGTGAGCAGTGGCACACAGGAAGGTGGCCGTGGCTGCAGCCCCGGTGTCTACCTCCCACTTCTTCTATCCCTTGAAGGTCTTCCTCTCTTTTGCTGGTCTTCCACTTGTCCAAGCATGATGTCCTTCTCCAAAACCAGCCTTTCCTGATACCATGATCAAAATGTGTGAGAAGGAGTTTCACTACTCTTGGTCCTAAGGAGCATTTTGTCTGCACCTCTCCCAAGAGAGGTGTGTGGCTTCTGTTTGAAGTCCATGGTATGCAAACCCAGGGACCTGGGAACTGGGTGTGCATTAGGAAGGTAGTTTCTGCTTCGGAAGCTCTTTCTCACCACACAGCTGGAAGAAGTTCTGGGAATCCTTCAACACAGAGATGGTGGCCACTCTCCCACAGACAAGATTCCACAGAAGGAGGTGTGGGGTGAACAATGAGGCCGTTCCCTGCGCCCACTGTCCTAGCTGACGGTCTCACATGCCTTCCTATTTGGAGCCTAAAGAACCCTGACAAAGGGCAGCCCTGTTCCGAGCCGAGGCAGGGAGCATTTGGAGCAGGGAGCCCTGCTCCTCTCCAGTGAAGTCACAGACTGAGGGACCAGGTCCAGGGACCCTGTCTCCATGTAGCCCCGCCCCCAAGCAGAGTGACAGTCTCTCCTGATAACCTCAGCCCCAGCACAGTCGCTGATCCGCTGATCCGATGCAGCCCAAGCCCGCCCAGTGCTGGGCCTGCGACCCGACCCGGGCTCTGCCATGCACACCCCACTGCTGGCCTGCGCGCTCCTGTGTCTTCTGGGCACAGGTGAGCTACGACAGGTGTATCTGCCAGGGAGGTCCACTCTGCTCTCTCTCTCAGAGTCGAGCCTGTGTCCCTGCTTCCACCCCTCCCACCAGGCCATGCAAAGACCGGAGTGACCCAGACTCCTAGACACGTTATCGCCAAACTCGGGCAGACGCCAACGGTGGCCTGCTCACAGGACCTGGGCCATGAAACCATGTACTGGTACCGGCAGGACCTGGGCAGGGGGCTGCGCCTCCTCTATTACTCAGCCGATGCGGATATTGTGGACAAGGGGGAGCTCCCCGATGGATACCAGGTGACCCGAGACAGGAGGGAGCAGTTCCCGCTCACCCTGGAGTCTGCGGTCCCCAACCAGACCGCTCTGTACCTGTGCCCAGCAGCTAAGCCACAGTGCCATGGGGACAGCTGCTCCCCATGCACAAAGGGCTCCTCAGAGCAGAGACCCCGCCCAGGGAGCCCCAGGGGGGAGTGGGGGACCTTCCCCCCATGGCATCCCAGTGCAGCCCCAGGCAAGGTGTCCTGTTGCCTCCAGTGCCTGGGAGACACCAACGTGCAGTCAGGACTCAAGGAGAATCAGAAGAAGGTCAGTGGCCTCGGACGCACCACCTCTGCAGCCCTACGTGCAGTTCACCCTCAAGTCAGGCAGACCCAGCATCCTGTTTCCAAATCATCTCTCAGTCCAGATTCAGCCCTGGTTGTGGTGTTGAGCCATAGTACCCTCTGGAGTAGAGATACCGTGTTCTTCCCTCTGAGTAAATGCAGCAAGACTTACACACAGAGATGCCATCCTGACACGGGAGGCATCCTTGCCTTCCCTGATTGCTCCTTCCCCCTCACCCCAACCTTGACCTCTCCTTTCCCCCTCACCCCTGGCCCTGACCTCTCCTTCCCCCACTCCATTCTGACCTCTCCTTCCCCCTTCACCTATCGCCGTGACCTCTTCTTCCCCCCTCACCTCTGGCCCTGACCTCTCCTTCCCCCACTCCATTCTGACCTCTCCTTCCCTCTTCACCTATGGCCCTGACCTCTCCTCCCTCCCGCCATCCTGACCTCTCTTTCTCCCTTCACCTGTGGCCTTGACCTCTCTTCCCCTCCCCACCCCTGGCCTTGACCTCTTCTTCCCCTGACCGCTAGCCCTGACCTCTCCTTTCCCCTCACCCCTGGCCGAGCCCTGCACACTCTGTTCCTTCCTCAGCCTCTTGGCATGTGGCTGGCCCACCTAGAACGGTGCTGGCAGGAAAACTTGCTTCCCATCCGCGCTGCACCAACCCCTCCCAGGTGGACCTCCTGCCCACACCTTGCTATCAGCCCATTTCCACATACCACACTACTCAAGCCCTTCCGTGCCTTTCCACAAATGCAGCTCTGTTCTTACCATCACCAGTGCACAAGTCCTCCGAGACACTCCGTGACCTGGCCTTGCGGACTTGCCCACCTTTCCACCTGGACGTGTTCTCTCCCTCCAGCAGTTACCATAGAGGGAGGACACACACACACACACACACACACACACATTGATGCGTCCGCATTCTCTTTCCCTCCCCTCCCTCGCCACAGTGGAAGAGGGTGGAGGCATCTGTGGAGAGAGATGTGGGGTTTGTTCTCAAGCATCTGGAGATGTCTGAGGGCCAGGGGTGTGGGCAGGGACAGTGACGTCACAGTCACCCCATCCTGGGCACAGGGTCCATTCGCCCTCCACGCTGCCATGGGGAACACGTTCCTCTGCATCCTGACCTGCTCTTTCCTGGGTGAGGGTCAGTCCTGGGGGTGCCCCCAGACCTTGTCCCCAGTTCCCACACTGGACACCCGCTGTCCTCCCACCAAGTCCTCCCAGATCTCCTTCCTCACCTCTGCTCCCTCCCCTTCCAGGGCTCACAGGCGCTCAGGTCACCCAGAGCCCCAGATACCTGCTCACAGGCCCCGGGAGGAAAGTGCTGCTGACCTGCGTACAGCACCTACAACACGACAGGATGTTCTGGTACCGACGAGACCCGGCTCTGGGGCTGCGCCTCATCCATTACTCATATGGTGCTGGCAGTACTGAGAAGGGGGATGTCCCTGATGGGTACAATGTCTCCAGGGAGACAGTGGAGAGCTTCCCCCTGACCCTGGAGTCCACCAGCCCCAGCCAGTCGTCTGTGTACCTGTGTGCAAGCAGTAAGGACACAGTGACTCACAGCCACTTCCTCTCTGCACAGAAAGGCAGTACTGCCTTGAGGGGACATCGTGACATCAGAAATGACAGCATGAGGTCACCTGGCCTGCAGGTACACGGCTGGTCATCAGACAGAAAGCCGTTTTCTGGTCCCACTGACCAATCCACAAGCAAGATGTTACAGTGAAGCGTGATCACGGACACAAGACTGTCAGACTCCACTGAAGCCGACAGAAGGCAGCCTATCAGAGCGCACATTGAAGTCATGATTTGTTCATCTTTCTTATTTTCTTGATGTTAACTGAGTAAAAGTTTACAAACCACGTTGATATATTCATTCACATTTTGTCTTATAACATTCATTATGTTGATGAATGGAATTCATTCATCACACTATCTGACCACCCCGTTACTGTATATCGCCTCTCCTTTCACTCACTTTAATTAATATCTGCCTCCATTCCCACCTCATTGGAGTCACTGTGAGGTCTCCTTCCAACCTCTCCTATTGCCCCCCTCCCTCACTTTCTGGCTGAATCCACCCCACCGATGTGAGTGTAGACTCATGCCCTTGGGGTTTCCTTTAACTTTCTCAAGAACAGACTACCATGTGTGTCTTGTCTGGGGCTGCTGAGTGAGACCACCCACCGCCTCCAGTCCAGCCAACAGCCTGTGTCCCCTCCAGTCCAGCCAACAGCCTGTGTCCCCTCCAGTCAACAGCCTGTGTCCCCTCCAGTCAACAGCCTGTGTCCCCTCCAGTCCAGCCAACAGCCTGTGTCCCCTCCAGTCAACAGCCTGTAT